TAATTAAAAAACAGTCGAGCGTTGCCCCCACCAGGCGGTGGCTCTTTTTAAAGGTTACGGCTATATATCTTTATTCACCTGACATTAACATTAAAATGATCCTCATGCTGTATTTTGATAAATCTAAATAAGGGTCTTTTTATGTTTTCCTCGAATCGATTTGGCTCTAGAATAATTTAATTTAGTTTAGTTTGATAACATGTAAGGCCTACTGTTTAATGAGATGAAAACCGGGTACATGATGAATGAAGAACAAGGACTAAAACATTGAACAGTGACATAAAACAACTGGTATATCGGAGAATCCATTGAATCGGTTTGATGTTGTTTTAAAAGGATATCTTCATGTTGGAGTAAAGGTATATTGTATGTTGTATATAAAATCTATTTAATGTTCCTTTTTTCGATCAATTTATTCACTTCGTCGGTTGAAGATTCATTCCGCACAAGGGTTTGGGACGTCGAGATCGCCATCGGTTTCGGAGTAAAATAGTAATTCTGTCGGTGGCTGTAGTTAAAACATCATCAGTGGAATTTTAATTAAGTTGATCAACAATATGTGCGTAAATGTAAACCATATTAAGAGAAACACTTCAAAATATCGTTTTAATGAGGTATCAATATTTTACATAGGGATATATGTACGTCACTTTTGCTTTAAGAAACCACGTGCATAACAATTAACAACCGTTTCATCTGTGTGAATTCATACAAAGTAAGGGTTATACTAAGGCAATTAATGGTTAAACGCGTACATTATGAAAATAAACTTTCTTAATTAATTTTGTTCTATAAGATCAAATATCAAAATTTGTACATGAATATGTTGGCCTTGACATTTAACCCATTACTTCATGAGCATTTTGTAAAAAATGGCTGTTTTCATTGAAAAGTCTCCCGTTACAAGTTCAAATTGCTATAATACTATAAAAACTGCTTCAACACTAATCAAACTTGGCACAAATGTTGACTGGACCATTGCCCTTGAAACAACATGCTCAGGCTTAAATTTTCTGTTTCAATGGCAAAGAGGGGACATCTCAAAATTGCCAAAAATTACTATTTTGTGTTGATTTTTTCCATCAAAGTTGATTTCAAAGTGCTGCAACTTCTCAATGGATTGAGATAGAGTCAAATGCTTTTCAGCGTTGGTTACACGTTACCTTATGATCAATCTGGGGTCATTTATAGCCTCTCAAACCCCCAAACAGAAGGGGCACATCCCCCTTCAGGCAACCCCCTGATGTATCTTTTGGTTGGGGGGCCGCGCCGAAAAAGTGGTCACTTTTTAACAACATTTCTCAAACAAAAACAAGTGTTGGGGGACTAAATAAGGCATTTTTTTCACCATTAGAGACAACAAAAAAAAAAAAGGGGGGGGGGTGAAAAATGCGTTAAAAGGTGTGCATATAGCGTAATGGGTTAACATAGATTCTCGAAATATTAGCTCTTTTGTGAATTGAGTAAATTGTATTAACTATGTTAATTTTTCGTCATGACATCTTAAAAATATTAGAATTTGAAATGTAAATAAAATTTTTAAGCATTTGAAATTTTAGCATTGTTTTATTTGAAGTGTCTTAAGCAATGTTTAAATTAAACACACGTATTGTAACAATATCATCATTTGATATATCAATTTCGTGTCATCTTTCACAATGCAGCGCGTACACAACTTTGGAATAAGTACGGCTTTATATATAGATCTAATCATCTTTTAATAAATAATAATAATAATATATAAATAATAAGTATGACTTTATTTGATTCTCTAGTTCTCTAGTGTTTTAAAATTAACAATTATGTTGGATGATAGATTTTGGTAAATATTCCAGTAAAACCACAAGTGACATCTTTAATAACAAGGAAGAATGGTTTTATAGTGGAAGGAATGTCACCAACAAACATGGCCACAACTGAGGTAGGAGATGAGTTGGAACTGACATGTACTGCTAATATAGGAAGCTGTTCAACAACCATAATTCACTGGCATAGAACTTCTGAAACTTCGCCTAGCGATGAATTTATTGACTATCAACCGCCACAAGGTACCTTTGATGAGGGCACAGCAACCAGTGATAATCATTGTGGATATACTAGAGTTGCTTCAATCAGATACCACGTTACAACAGTCGATGCTAACAGGGATAACAATTTGGCATTCGAATGTTCCGTTAGAGTTGGTGGAGATCCATATGGAAAATCTTACACATCTGAAAACAATCCGAGATTCTACACTTATGTCAGTAAGTGATCTATATTAGATCTAAATAGTATAGCTATTTATGTATATAAGTTTAAATGGAGTTGAATATCAAATTGAAATATAAGTGTCATTATTTGATTCGTTACTACGTTGTACTCAAATAACAAATTTAAAAAGAAAAGGGTCATTATTTGTACTACATATATTATTCTTTATTCTTTGCAGTTGATATAATTTAGATATTAAAGACAGTTTAAAATTGGTAACCATGATTTAGTTGAACAGTCCCAAAATTTCAAAAACCTTGTGGGACGTAGAAACATTTTCCCAAAAATAAATGGATAGTTTCTTACCCGTATTTTGGAGATTTTTGGATGTAAAACTCTTCATTGATTCAGGGCGCTATTTATGACCAACAGGCAATATTTTCCATAACAAATTTCTTTTGAAAAATAAATATATTAACATAGATCTTGATTGGTAGTTCTTTTGTCAACTAACAAATGATATTTCAATGAAAAAGAATACCTCTAGAATACATGTTTTCAATATTAACATAGTTTTAATGATGCAGGATCATAATGCCGCTCTTGTTAAAATCTCTGATGATCACCCGAAAAGCAGTGCACACAAACCTATTTGTTGAACATTTTCAGACCTTTTTTCTGCATGTTAATTGTGTTTTTTACGCCTCGTTTGTTTTCATTGCAGCTATTACAGCTAAGCAAGACAATGGAAACACAAGTTCTAAAATTGGTAAAATTTTAGTTCATGTATTATGTTTCTGTGTGTTTGAATGTGTACAAAAGTCGGGTGGACAGTCGAGGATGTATTGGTATCAACCGATGTTAAATACAAAGTTATGGGTTTCTTTTGTTTTAGAGATATAAAATAAGATGTTGTGAAACAAAATCAATACTAGACTTACAGGAAATAAGCTGTAGTACCGATTTTGAATTACTATTTCTTTTCACTTTTTAACTTTATGTATAGTAAATGAATTATTCTATGAATATTTATCGGGATTTTCAAGCTATTATTACCAATAATGTCTTTAAGTTATGATTTCAAATATTTAATACAACTTGTTAAGCAAGTATTAGCAACCTTTAACAGCGTTTGATTCTAGAAGCAATGGTATCAACAGAAAATTTGGCTCTTGAAAACGTCTGGCTTTGAAAGATGAAATAAGGTTGCATAGAAAATATGTTTACGTTCATATTTAAGATTTCACTGCAGGTACTGGCGTTTCACCGGCTGCTTTAGTGGGGGCTGTGGTTTCCGCATTAGTTGTTGGGATACTTTTAGGAGTGGGTTTAACACACTTTTATCTACGTTTTAAAAGAACAGGTAGTCCGTCCGTTAGATTTATAGTGATATATGACTGACACTTCACTTGTTTTAAAAAGCGAAAAAACTTTGTTGATATTTTGTAGTAAATAATTGATTTTGTGTGAGCAAGGATTCATATTTTCGAAACTAAATGAATTATGTATTAATCGTTTTAATCTATGACGAATGTCACTTATAAAAAGTAGCATAATGTAAGACCTGTTTCATTCGTCAAAATGACAGTTCAAATTGCTCTTCAAAAGTCGCTTGTCTTCAAAACTTTATACTGTGAATACAACTACATTCATCAGGTGTATAAAAGTTTATATGTATGTTAATAAAATATAGGAGACAGGACGAATTATCAGCCTCAACAAATTGAGTTTCAAGAAACAGAGATAAGTGACGTGGCCCTGCCAGCGTAAGTTATTCCTTATAATTAAGATTTCAAGACTTTTCTCAACCCCTATGCATTTTGTATTTAGCTTTTATATCAACAGTTGCGGTTTATTAATTGTAAACATATTCAAACGACTATTTTGGTTTCGTATGAATGTACAAGGTTATGGATGATTTGTTTTATAAACATAGATGCATAAATAATAATGATTCGTTTGTTTCTGAGTAATTTAAAAAAGAAATATTCCAAAGTGAGAACTAATGTGATAGCTCCAAAGTAAAATTATGTCTACAATTATGTAATAATTATGATATTTATTCAAAGTTACATTTAAGCGCTTTCAATCAAAAGCAATCTACATTAAGTGCGTATAATGCCAGGAACTATCAATTTTATATATTCAATTTGATATACTGACTATACCACTGTTTGCTCTTTTTTATTAAATGCTTATAGGAATGCGTATGAACAACTTGAAAACAGAACAAATACGGAGAGAAGAATGGCCTACGATTCGCTAAATGGTATTGCATTTCTTTTTACACTGAATATATCAGGCAAGGCATATATCAAGGCAACTATTTTATGGCATAAAAACTACAACTGTCATGTTTAAAAAACCCATGACTATTACAATAGACAACTTGACAGAGTAAATAGGTTTACTTTGAAAGAAGCCCAATTGAAACATGCTCCTTAAATATTTACATTAAAAACAACTTTTATCTGAACTATATCTTGTGAACAGAAGCAATTTTGATATAAATATTAAGAATATGCATGTCTGTATAATTATTAAAAATATAGCAATGTTGATTGTATTTCTACGGAAGGCCCTCGTACATACTTGCAAAGCATTTGAACAGAAACAATGGATTGATTGACCATAATGTAAGACAAAAAAGTAATTTATTTCTCTATTTACATGCTAATTTATAATTGATAAAAGTATGCTGAGACTGCACTAGGATCAGAAGTAATTTTCGACACATTTTTATTAATTGACACATTTGATGCCAAAACATATTGTGTAATATTGATATATTTGATATATTGTTTCAGTGAGTTCCAGTGAATCACCAATAAGGTAATTAGAAAATCATGGTAATGTACTCGAAAGGTAAAAGCCAAAATAAAAATTTAGGACTGCACAATACTGCTAATAAGATGTGAATGCGTCATTAAAGATTAAAGGTTTCAATACACACAAATTGATTACTAGATACATTTCATTCAGAAAAAAGGATCGTATCAATTAATTAAAAAGAAATAAGGAACATCCAATTTGAAGGTGAATAAAAGGCTTATGTCCTATGAGTAAAAGAATGATGCAACAAGGTTACAAAAAAACTTGCACCGGCATCTTAAGGTATAACGTATTATTAAGTGCACTTTAATGTTATTTAATTCAATATAATTACATTATGTAAATCAATGATTTCACTTGTATGTCTTCCTTTCAGACAATCACAATATGAAGATATGGATCATGGATCAGAAATACCCCACACTTATGCCGATGTAAACTGAAAAAATGGATACATTTTGAGATGACTCCTGCTGACTTAAAGCATAATGAAAGTTAACATCATGAACACATTATTTAATGACATTATCTAAATGTATGACAATGAGATTTATAAATTCAACAACTATAGAACCGGATATCTACGAGTTATGTCATCCTTATGCCTATTCTATATGGTGGCTGATTTCTGCCATTTTGTGCCTTCGCCTTCGACTTTTTAGATGCAAAAACACGAAGACTCGATAAATTGGCCAATTATCGTGTCTTAGACTTTCGCATTTTGAGACGAAGACACGAAAACACGACAAATATAGATTTCTCTCCGCCAACACGATAATTCTACAGAAAAATATCTCGCCTATAAAATATTTTTATTTTGCTTAAAATATATCTTGCCTTTGTGTCGGCGCACTCAAAAGTCGATGGCTAAGACAAAATTAGTTAACATATTTTCGTGTTTTCATGTCTTCGCCTTCGAGTTTTGAGGGACGACGACACGAAGACACGAAATAGAAGAAATCAGCCTCCATAATTTTTAGGACAAATGGTTATAGGGATTTTGGCTCATTCTAATTTTTTGAAGATATAACAGAATTATGATATTGTTTTATATTTGACTTTTCAAGTATGTTCCTGCATGTTTTGTCAAACAATCTTATAGCACTTTAGTTGCTAATGTGTAACAAATATAAAAAGCAAAAAAATCTAAAAAGCTTTACATGTTCTTAGCCTATTCTACTCATATTTTACATTAAAGGAGGGTCTGAATTTGTTGCCCTTTCATAAACATACTCAATAAATTTAATTCTTTCATCTTTTGTTTATGCTCACAACATCAGGTGTTGGTACCGGTGCTGACCCTCTTTGACGGTGATTCCAGTTATTTTATGCCTTTATCTCTAACTTCAGGGTAAAAGTCTAGATGAGCAACGTATAACTATGAATATGATAATCTGATCTGCTAATAGAAATTACAATTATTAGGAACTATAAGTTTTCCAGATCAATGGCAGGATATTATTGGGTGAATATATCTATCAAAACATATAAATACCAATGTCCTATCATGCAAAAAATTCTATTACATTCACAGAACATTTGAAAGCAAAGAACGGATCACAACTTGTAAATCTGGTTATTTTTAAATCTATCAAATGATTTTCAAAATAGTTGTAACGTAAGTATATTTCATTGACATTGGCGTGAAATAATTAACACATATTTTTTTTTCAAAATACTTAATCGTATTAAACACATAAGTAGCGTTTATTCCGCTTAACTGATATTCAGTCATATTATTTTGACAACGCAAAGATATTGTTTCGTGCAAAACTTCACTGCCTTGATCGTAGAAGTTTAGCGATCGTGGAAGTTTGTGGAATAATCGGTAATTGGCATACACTTCTGAACCGACAATGTATGTATTTGAGTTTTATGAAAGAAATATAGAATTGGAATTTCATTTGTATTTACAAGGCGTGTGACTTACTCTTACTTCTTTAACTTGATACATCACGGTTATGCATTTCAGCTTCAAAATATATGTTTCTGTTTGATTTGTTTGATGCGTCATATATTGAGAAAGCACTGTCTGGTGGTTAAACAGCTGGCACAAAATGTTATGTTATATGCAGTCAAATTTAGATCGAAAACTTCAGATATATAATCATGTAATTTGTTTATTGTAAAATGTTTACTTTCATTATTCTTAGAATACTTTTAAGACGTTCAGTCCCTAGCATTATATATACATGTTGTCTCTTTTCTTTTTAAAGATATTCATATGTCCAGATAATAGTGACTGTTGTTTTGTATATTCAATAAGTATTTGTTTGTTTGTTTGACTTGGTATTAAGTCAAACCGACATGGTAGAGGTCACATGGCAACGTTCCAGCTTTACTGGTGGAGGAAGACCTCAGGTGCCCATCCGGCATATTTCAGGCACGAATGAGCACCTTAGTAGACCCATCAACGTTCCGTAGGCTAGCTGGTTAGCAACCTCACACGAAAGAGTCAAAACTCCCTGTCGGGATTCTAACCATCAGCTCTGAGTGCCAAGTGGTTTGAAGACAACGACTTATGGATATAAATACCTACGTGCATTAACAATAATATTTAATGGTTCCTGTGGAGATGTTTTATTTATTTTACCATCAACAGAAGTTTACTTGAATCCAAAGCGTGATAACTGAGAATTGAATATGTTCGTTGGAGTATATTCTCCTTTGTTTATTGGTCAACCTAAGGTATCATTTCTTTGCATGATTATTGTGTTTCTTTTTAATTTCTTTTTTTTAACCATAAACTTTATTATATGGGAACAATGATTATATGAGTAAGTCTACTATAACCTATGTTTCTTTTCTATTACTTGTCAACTTAGTTTTGTCTACTCTTATAAAAAAACTGTCAATTTTTGTAATAACACTGTTATCATACTGTTGATACCTGTATTCTGTATAGTTTAAAACGTAAAATACTTTCTCTGTGTGTATTTGAAAGATGTTTATTTAACATTTCTAAAACGATTGAATAGTAATTACATCTATCAGTATAACAATAATCATATTTTGTAAACTTATTATGTTGATGATGATGATGATTATATGTTTTTAAACATTTAACATGGTCGGATTATGAAACAGAAAACAAAACAATATTGGTACTGCTTTCCTGAACGATTTAAATAGATACGGCAGAAGAAAAAGACAAAACCGTGACGTTTATATGTCAAGATACACCCATAACATGATCTCTACTACAGTTGATCATTAAATCCATTGAATTTTCGAGCAGAATTTGAATTAAACTTTAATTATATTTGACAGAAATATTATTACATAATATAGTAATGCGTTTTGTTTAATTCATTTAATTATTAAAATGCCCCCATCAATTGCCTGGAAAGTATAACAAATAAACATTAAAATCTATGGGTCTTTTTATTTTCCATCATACAATTTAAGCAGAAATAGGCAAGGAGAACATAAACTATCTATTATAATAGTTAAAACAAACAAATTAAGAAGAGCAAAACTAAACTTTTCCCCATTGCTGAATGGACGAATGCATATCTACTAGCCGCCGCATGTACACGGCGTCTAATCATGTTTATAATGATAATAATTATAACAATTGTTTAAAGTTTTTATTTTAAACGGCAATCATTTGGCACACATCTATTAATTTTCAATCATTTACATCAATTTGTTGCGGGCTATAATGAAAGAAGAATGTATCCAAAATATTATCAAACATGGTCGGATGATGAAACCCAAACGAAACTGAGTTGGAACTGCTATCATGAACCATTCAAATAAACACGGCAGAAAAAAGAGACAAACTACACTAATATTATATAATATTATGATAGCATACGTTATTACTTTATTTTATTCATTTAATTAGTATGATGCCTACATAAAATCATTTAAGATGCACGCACTGGCAAAACTTGATGATGAATTGCTTGTTGTAATATAGAATTGGCGGGGAATTTTGTTCAAACTGTGGCACAAATAAATTTAAAACGGAATAACTTGTGATACATACATTGTTTTTAAGAAAAACGAGTCCTTTAAAGCACATTCCACACTGTAACAACCTGTTTGGTTTTCCATTTCTGTCTTGTAGAGAAGTTGCTCGTAAATATTTCTTAAACGTGATAATTGTGTTACTTTCAATATCTCAACATTGTAAACGTTTCAAACATTACAGCATTGTAATTATTATAGACATAGAAAATTTGTGACAAGCTTAAAACATTATAATGAGGAGATTATTCAAAGAAGTGAAATAGAAAGTTGTAAAACATTTGCTTTCAAGTTAAATTTACTGACCATTTTGCATTACATATTGTCCAGTCCTCGTATGGCAAATCTAATTGCATATATACTGTTTATCTCTCTATATTGCTTATACATTATTGACACATGCTTTGTTATTGATGTTGTTGATGTTTTTTGTTCTTGTCAACGAACAAATAAAAATAAAAAAGTTTTGAAAATATTAATTTTTAACATTACCACTCATTTAGCATTATGTAACATTTAGTGATGTATCACAAGATTTTGCGGCGTGTGTGCGTGAATATTATGTCACTTTTTAAATAATTACAGTCCATTTCAAGTGAAAAATACGGCTAATGTTTACAAATAACCTTGATGTATATGATTAGAGCCATAAGACTTATTGAGCTGAACACTTTTCGAGCTTATCTAATCATTCACATAAAAGAGTAAACACAAACAGAATAAATGAACATCATTTAATTTTATATGTATGATATAACGATAGCGTTTGACACAGTTATACTTAGGCCGCCTTTACATTATGCTATTATACATGGCACATTAAATCACGCATATTTAAACCTGCAACTCCGTTCACTTTGATGCATGTTTCTTCTCAGTTAAAGATGCGCACAACGTGCGCAAAATTTGTTTGTGCAATAGTGCTCGATTATTTTGTCCTGTGTGGGTCTAGGTACATAAACCTAAAAAAAACTAACAAGCTTGAATTGATTTGTATCTTTACTTTAATATCAATTAAACAATTGCATTTTAGGTAATCTCCAAGAATATAATAGTTATAATGAAAAAAGGTGGACTTATCTTTCCTTTCGTTGAATTTTTCATTTTTTTAAGTTTTGTAATGTTTAGTTTTATATGCAATAATTGATTTCGTTTTAACAAATGAATTATAAAACCGTTACGTAAATAACGGTCATTAATAGCATTTTCCGTACCGTTATGCTATGTGCCGATTTCGATCCGCGCAAACTAATATTAACAAAATTGGTTGCTTCCAGGAACGGATTCGAAAGTGTGTCTTTAAGCTTATAGCTTCCTACACAATCGAACTAAAATAAATTCTGTATAAACCAATATTAACAAAACCAAGGAACGATCTTCTTCGCAATTATAAATCAAAATTATAAATAAAAAATGGTATGTGTTTCCATTCCCTTACAATCACCTTAATATTCCACGAGTGTTATGTAACGGGTACATTTTTCTTTGTTAGGTAACTAAAAATAAAGCTGAAACAAATTGTTTGGTTGTACAAGTTATCAGTCATAGTCTATTCCTCGAAAGCAATGATAAAACAATCTTTTTTCAAAATTAAGTCGTATTCATTACAATTACTACATACGAACGTACTGATGTCTTAGTAGTAATAAACTATGTATTCCCAATAAGTAAAAATGTACTGTTGTAATAATGTAGCGTGATGTTCATAATACTGCACGATATAAGATTGTCGTGTTAATCTTTCTTTCAAACTACTTAAGTTCTATTTAAATTTTACTTCGAGTACTTCCTTATCGTGATACAAGTCCAACCTGTACGGAGATGCAAATGCTATATTTATCTCGTATACGTAGTATTTTATGCTATTAAATCATTCTGGTATATTTTATAATTACGATACTTCCTTTTTCAAAACTAAGTTTACGTTTTATGTAGATGTAAGATTTATAAAGAGAAAGTGGATTATTTAAATCTTAAACATGTCGAATTTTTTTTAAAAAGTGTTGTCTTTGTTATCGCTTTTACTAATTTTGAAGGTAATACGTCTGATGTTAAATTGAGTCCACTTTAAATTCTTTAAATACTATATCCATTGTTTATCGCCATTGTTTAATTGTGCAACTTTTAACAGCTATATTGCGTGCGTGTCTATGTTTGTGTATATCTTTATATTGATAACTATATATTTTTATGCATACTCGTACGTGTATGTTTATACCATATTGTTCATGTATATCTCTATATTTTAGACTATATTTTTCTAAACTCTCTTGAAATATTTGTTCATTATCATTGATTGTTTAATCTTTAGTACATTTAATGAGTGCAAGCAATTTTTCTAGAACATCTTGTTAGACAAGAAATAGGGTTGCATTATAATTCCACTTTTTCATGTAAGATTGAAAATACTTTCAAAATACTGTTTTTATTTCAATTGTTACGTTTACAGTAACTGGTGTGGATTTCACTCTAAACAAGGAGAGAGTTCTTCTAGGCAGCACAGGAACATTAACTATGAGATGTAGTATCACTGAAACAGATGTAGATCGTATTTACCTTATACAGATACGAAGACTTAAATCAACCACGCATTCTGGATCAGATCCTAATGATTGGCAGACATTAGCATTAATGGAAGTAGGTAGAAATGAAAATCCTACGTTAACAGATGATATTACAGCTGTAGCAGCTAGTAAAGATTATGTTGCTGGAGGATCATGGGATTCTACAACACTTGCTAACACATATCTTACATTGTCTATGAGCATGGAGAAGATGGTTTGTGATGATGCCAGGTATTATAGATGTGAATTGTCGTATAAAAGCACAACATCAGGAACAATTGCTAATGTTTACAGAAACGTCACGTTTTCAGCATATGGTAAATTTTATGCAATTTTAAAAATGCCTGGAAAACCTTGTCATATTTAAGACAGGTTGGAAACAATTTTATTGGTTTGATAAAACTTGAATAGGTAGCTTTTAGTATATAAAAATAAAAATTATTTCAATAAATTTCAAGAGATGAGTTGCACAAGAAAATGACCATTTTATAATGTTACTATGTAAAACAATTGACCGATTCAACTGCCTTTGAAAAATCTGTTGGGAAGTGACTGAAATTTTAAATTGTGTTAATGATAGAGCTTATAGATGTGAATTGACGTATAAAATTTCCACAACAGGAGGTGTTGCTGAAGATTGAAAAGATTGCAGTGTTCACAGCTTACAGTAAATTCATACATACGAGTATCGTTTAAAGCTAATGATATGAATAAGGCAAAGCAGCTTTGAATTTTACGAGCTCTTTGGAATTTATAATGCATAGATCTATAATGATAGTATATATTAATTAAATTCCCGGCGTTTGCGTAATTCCAACTACAATTTACTATACACTTCTGCACGCTATCGGTCGCATTTTTCACACACTATTTGTCACTTTCGAAGTTCATGTTATATTTGATATCGAAATTGCATTATGTAGTCGCAGAACAAAAATCCACATGGAATTTTAATTGCTGGTAAAGGATCCAAATTGATAATTTCATTTCGGGAAAAAGATTTCGTGAAACAGGATCATATCGGGAATTGATATTGACTCAGCGTGTAATTTCACTTATTCTTTTTTAATGAAGAAGTTGCGTAAAAAAGTAATCATTTTATTGTTATCTATTAGAGGATTGTTCAGTTTACTTGAATCTGTCAAATTTTAGGTATTTAACGATCGTATTTATGACACGATTGTGAACACGCAAAGAGTCGCAATCCTGGAAAAGTAATTTGCGAAACTTCATATAAGGATGAATGATAATCGACAAGGTGTTCAAAATATCAATTAAGGTGGGAACCACAATGAGGCAGGCGATTCTTTAAATAGCGAGCAGGTCCGTAGCTACCGTTTACTAACATTTCATGATATATTGCAATTTTTGTTGTATTATCAGTAAATCAGTAAGTTCTAAGGCAATTACTTAAATAAAAAAATGGTTTAATAGATGCAACGGTCCATCAAAATGGAAAAAAAATGTTGTTTGTAAATGTCTGTGAAAGCGATCGGAGATAATGTGATATTAACAAACCCTATTTTCAGTATCAGTTGATTGTCTTGTTAGGGAGTTGTCTTATCCTATATCATTTATGTACCTGAGTTAAAGGTTTCTGGCCAAAAGAAAGGCACATTTTTCTGTTAATAATAATGTGTTTAAGGTGCCCTTATATGAAAAAACCCACATAACAACAACAGCAACAAAAAAAATTTTTTTTTTTTCGTAACGCAATTGGCAATTTCCTCCACCCTTTTCACCCAATCGCAACTTCTGCCATTTCCGTCAGTCTTCAAACAAAAGTTCTGTAGTATGAATACACATAACGGATTCGATATTTTCGTCCAACCTTCGCTAAAAACTAAACGTGTAAACAAATAGTAATTTACTGCTGGGAGTTGTTAACAATTGTGTCCCAATATATCAAGTAAAAGTCAACCTAATAAAAGTGAATTTATAGATACAAAAACAAACAATACATTATTAATATATTTATTATTATGGTACAAAATGCCAACCTGTTGACATTAAATCGGATTTGTTTAAAATTGTACCTCATTGGGCTTAAGAAATGATTGTCAGACATATTTTCAATCATAGTTGATCCGAAACCAATATTATCTTCGTTTGACTGTCAAATATATACAATCGTTTTACATTATCAAAAATTATACATTCTGTTTCTGTTTACATCCGAAACCACGATGTAGGGCTACTTTCAATCCGTATTAACTCCGAGGTTATTATAGACAATAGCCGAGGACGTTCCGATTGCCTTTTCACCAATCCCGTAGGAATATCCCTACCTACTTTTATTGACATATAAGTGCAAATATTTCGCACCAATACATCAAAATATCCATTGTGTTATTCAGCATATTACACATTTTTTTTAAATATTCATTATAAACGAAAAAAAATGTAAATGAAATTTCATGTTGTTTTAGATGATAAGGTGACATAACTAAACACGATTTTGCATTAACGCCGCCGATTTGTAAATCATAAATAGTCATTTGTATTAGCTCTGAAAAATAAAGGTATTGTTAAAGTCATGTCGGCGTTGCCTTCCCCAAAACTTTAACGTTGATCAAGTATATTGTCTTCATACTTGGTCACAACAAACCTTGGGACAAGACTTTTAAATAGACCAGACTAAACTTGACCTTCATTCATTAATGACCCTGATCTTTAAGGTCAAATATCTAAATGTTACTTTATTTTTGGTGAGTTTTGCTATCAATGACTACAACTGTGTTATCTATGAATTGATGGTAATAGATCTTCAAGTAAACCAGACAGACCTTGACTTTCACTCATTTATAACCTTGTTTGTTTCTGTAACTGGCTTTAACTTTGTTATCATTGACTGAATTGACTTCATATTAAGACACAACATTTTTTAGCATAAGACCTCCTGTATGTATATGAACCTCAGGTTGCCGCTTTTCATGGAATGGCACTACTGTGTCACATTGAAGGTTCCATGATAACCGCTGTATGAACACATCTGCGGATGTTTCTAAATTCAAAATTTAACCATTTTCGTGTTAAATGTTGAATTCTGCTTAAGCCGGTGCTAGGGGGCGTGGACGGTAACTTGCACTTTCCAGCACCGTCCATGAACAGGCTCAATCAAACCGAGCCTGCAACATTTTCAATTTTGTTGTGTTGGACTTTCTTTAGGGATTCTGTTTTTCTCTATTTTTTGGCTTATTTATAACATTGACATTGAAGGTTTAATTATTGAATTTTTACTGATTTTGCTATATTGGCTGTAACTCTGTAATATTATTATTAATTAGATTATCTTCATACATGAACACAATAGCCTTTTGGAAAAGAACCTCTTAAAGGCTAAACTGACCTTGACATTGAGCTTTACATGACCTTGATCGTCAAGGCAAGATTATTGAATTTTGTCATAATTTTGTTATTTATGTACGGATTTGAGTTATATTTTGACAAAACAAGACTTGCTACTAAGTAAACATATTGAATGATTTAGACGAGACAATTACCTTAATTGATTTGGACCATATGCGAAGTTTTCACTGTAAAATTGAACTTTGATATCAGCTGCCCTAGATTAGTTTACAAACTGACATAATAACTTGACATTTGATGTACAGTTATGGAATTTGGACCATATGCACAGTTTTAAATGTAAAATTGAACTTAAATATCAGCTGAATTAGATTTTGATAAAGTGACTTATTTTCTTGTCCGTTGATATACAGCTATAAAATTTAGAATGTGTGCACAGTTTTTCAAGTAAAAGTAAACTTTGATTTCAGCTGGCCAATATGTTGTCAAGCTAACCTACTTTCTTATCATTAGATGTACAGCCATGAAAATTGAATCATTTGCACATTTCTAGATGTGAATTTGATCTTTGATATTAGCTGACCTAGCTTTGTACAAAGTAATCTACTTTTGAACTTTGATCTCAGCTAACCTTGATAATTTGACAAAATGACCTACTGTACATCTATGAAATTTAGACCATGTGCACAATTTTAAATATAAAATTGAATTTTGATATAAGCTGACCTAAATTTTGATGAAGTGACCTACTTTTGTTTCCTTTTATATACAGGTTTGTTTACTGTAATAAACTGAATAATTAACATAATGGAAATGATTCATACTTGGAAAAAAACAACAAATGTGATTAGACATACATATAAAAATTAAAAAATGGAAGAACTATTCTGTTTCTTTAATATTTTTTTTAAGATTTGTTTTAACCTTTTAGAGAAAGGCCTTGGCTGTTGTTAAAGTTAATAGCGATATATCTTTATACATCTGACATTAACTTTTAAATGACCCACATGCTGTATTTTGATAAATCTAAAGAACGGTCTTTTATATTTTTATCGAATCGATTCGGCTCTAGAATCATTGAATTTGAGTTTGATACAATTTAAGGCCTTCTGTTTAATCAAATGAAAACCGGGTGCCTGACGCACTCAAGGGGGTCATACGATGCGCGTACAGCCTCAAAATTCTGATACCGCGAACACTTTTTCAACCGGTATTTTGAACAAAAACAAATCATATAAAACAAGCAGAATTGATTTGAATTTAATTTCTTTTGCAAAGAAGATGTCCTTACTTCTAATTTTGATATTCCAAATGCCTTGACAAAAGTCTTCCCTTTCTCATGAATGCGATTTGAATTCAGGATACTGTGTACACCCGGCGTTGAAATGTTATAGAACTTGAGGAATTATCGATTAAACTGAAAGTTTCAGACAGCTAGAAGTTAGTTTATTGTAGAATATATTTCATGAATTTATTTTCAATCTTTGTTATTTTTCCTTTGTATGTCTTAAAACGAACAATTAACAGGAAATAGACATTATGATACTGCGTACTCTCTAAAAAATCAATATACTGCATACACATTTATGTGTTATTGATTCTGCGTACACTTTCTTCGGAGCAGTTTAAGTTCATAATGGGATCAAATGGATAACACTGGCGAACAAAACAAAAATAAATAGATAAAAAATTAAAATGAAAAATATAATAAAATGAAATATAAGATTCAAATCTTGTGATAAAGTTTGCTCCCTTAAAATGTTTAAATTGTACATCCTCAAAAAGGTTTGAGCTTAATATTTTTTAATCAATGTGTTTACTCATTTATGTAGCACTCTATACTGATAAATTGTTTCGTACACTGCATTTTTAAACTTGTTATAGTCAAATATTTAGCTCATTTATTAAGAAAATAAATGTATGCCGATTATGTCGCGAATTCTTCTTCAGCCAAACTGAAGGACAACATCGGCATATGTAAGGAAAGTAAACTGGAATCAGTTTGTCCGTCCGGCCGTCCGTCGGACTTTAGAGATTGGTCATGATTAGTAAATGACTCCAATTAATTTTGAGGACACTAGGTCAAAGATCAAGGTCATAGGGGACTTGACTACAAAAAGCTTATCCTCCAAATAACTTAAGATTCCTTTGACCCACATTCTTCATATTTGGCATAGAGGTCTGTCTTGATAAGTGGATGACTCCTATTGATTTGACTGTCACTAGGTATAAGGTCAAGGCCACAGAGGCCTTTAGTTTCAAAAGGACCGTGACTCAAAAAAAATTGTCCGCCCAATAATTAAAGAATCCTTTGACAAACAGTCTTCATATTAAGCATGGAGGTTGGTCATGACCATTTGGTGACCCCCTTAGATTTTGTTGTCACTTGGTCAAGGTCTATGTCACGGGGGCTTTAAGTTCAAACAATTTGTCCGCTCAATTGCTTTAAAATGCTTTGGTCAACAGTCTTCATATTTGGTATTAAGATTATTTTTCGCCAGTTATGACCCCTTTTGATTTTGAGTTCACTAGGTCAAAGGTAAAGGTCAGAAGGGCCTTGAGTAAAATTAGCTTTCCACCCAATAACTCAAGAATCCTTTGACCCACAGTCGTCATATAAACATGGAATTAAGTCATGATCATTAAATGACTCCTGCCAATTTTGCAGTCACTGGGTCAAAGTTCAAGGTCACAGGGACTTTGAATTTAAAAAGCTTGTTCGCTTTATAACTAAAACATCCTTTGACCCATACAAACATAGCGTTAAGGCGCGCTAAATGTTAGCGTTATACAATAGGCGCGTCAATAAAAAATGGTTCGTTTTCACTTCAAAAGGCTTTTATTTTTGGTATAATTATGATAAATAGAAAATCAAATTTTTGTAAGTTTCATACTTAATTTTTTCAGCACGTTCAAGAAATTCTGTATTAAACTTACACCCATTCAATATACTCTATTAATCACATACCCGTGTCGCTTTTGCGTCTCAGTAGAAATGATATTGCACGGTCGTGTTTATTTAACGCATATGTCGTCACGTCAAAATATATTAACGACCGTGCAATACCATTTAAAGCAGAATGGTATGTGATAAACAGAGTATATTGAATGAGTGCATCAAACCGATTTTGGATATAAAATCTAAGTTGTGTGTTTCCCTTTACCATAAATTTATTCATTTCATTGTTTAAAGCTTTATTCCGCACAAGGGCTAGGGACGTCGAGATCGTCATCGTTTTCGGAACGAAAAAGTAATTTTGTTTGTGGCTGTGGTTGAAACATATAACATTGAACTAGAAATGGATATTCATCAGTGGAATTATCCACGATATGTACGTTAATGTAAACCACATTAAGAGAAACAATGCAAAATATCGTTATAATAAGGTGTCAATATTTTACATAGGGATGCATGTATGGCACTTCCCCTTCGAGAAACCACCTGCATAACAATTAACAACCCTTACGTCTGTATGATTTGGAACTCTGTGAGGGTTATTCTTAGGCAATTACTGGTGTTTTTACGTGTACATTGTGAAAATAAACTTACTTAAATTTGTTCAACATGATTTAATATTAAAATTTGCACATAAATATGTTGGCCATTGACCTTTAGCATAGATTCTCTGAGTATAAACTATGTTACTTTTCGTCATGACATGTTAAAAATATTGGAATTTGTAAAGAAAACTATTAAGCATTTTAAAATTGAAGAATTAAGCATTGTTTCATTTGAAGTGTCTAAAGTATTTTTTTTAATTAACCACACGTAAAGTAGCAAGTATGTGTAAAGGCATAACACGGACATCATCATTTAATATATGAATGTCTTGTCATCTTTCACACTGCAAGCGCGTACAAGAATTTGGAATCATATATAGATCTAATCATCCTTTAATAAATAATAATAATTACATTGATCATAAGTATGACTTTATTTGATTCTCTAGTGTTTCAAAATTAAGATTTATGTTGGATGATACGTTTTAGTAAATATTCTAGTAAAACCTCAAGTGACATCATTGATAACAAGAAAGAATGGTTTTATAGTAGAAGGAATGTCACCATCAAACATGGCCATTGCTGACGTAGGAGATGAGTTGCATCTTACGTGTACTGCTAATATAGGAAGTTTACCAGGAGCCCCTATTCGATGGCATAGAACATCAGAAACTTCCAAAAATGATGACTTTATTGGCTATCAACCACCAGAATATACATATGATAAGGGCATTGCAATCAGTGACAGTCAGTGTGGATATACACGAGTGGCTTCAATCAGATACTACACAACAGCAGCTGATGCCAATAGGGAAAACAATCTGGCATTCGAGTGTTTTGTTACAGTTAGTGGAGATCCGTACGGACTATCTTACACATCTGAAAACAATCCAAAATTTTATACTGCCGTTAGTAAGTGATCTACAGTATTTGTTTATATAAAATTAAAAGAAATGAATATTGTGCATTAAACAATAATTTGCCATACCAGCAAAACTCATAGTTTCCAAACATCTAACATGGAAGACACTTTGTGGTATTTCTAAATGGCAACTAACAAATCGACCAACAATATAAGAACGAATATTTCAAAACATCTTGCAGCGAACTAATCAAAATCAATATAACACTAATTGTTTTGTTTTGGTTTGTTTGGTTATACGGCGCACCAACAAATTATAGGTCAAATGGTGCCGAAACAGGTAAAATGATTTTTACAAACCTGGTGTGTTCCAAGCTTCAAAACAACAGCAGGGTCAAATATTTGTATTGGTAATGCAGAGTCATCTTGTTAAAAGTTTCAAAATAAACATGGGAAAACTGTACCTGCGGACTAATAAAGATTCTTTTTTAGAAGAAAATCTTTAGAAATGTTTTAGCATGTTGTGTAATAAAAATGTCACCATTCTTTATTACAGCTAAACCAGACAATGGAAACACAGTTTCTAACATTGGCACAACAGGTAAAGGTTAAGACTTTTTGTTAATTTATGTAACATGAGGAACAAATTGAATACCAGACTAACAGGTGATTAATTGTAGTACCGATTTAAATAATATGTTCTATATTACTTTTTAAAACGATTAATAGTAAATTGATGAATTTTTATCAGGATCGTGAAGTCATTTTCACCAATTACATCGCTAAATAATATTCTCAATACTTCAACTATAATTGCGGAACGTTTTGTCAGATACAACTTGTTTGAAATTTGCATACTGACGTATCGTAACTATCGTTTACGACAAATGAATCGCTAAGCAGTGATGCCTTTCAAAGGTTATGAAAGAATACGTAGAAAATATGTGTAATTACTACAATATATATACATGTAGATGGGAAATTTGTTAATGCAGGTACTGACGTATCACTGGCTATTTTCATGGGGACTGTGATTTTCGCACTAGTCTTTGCGGTTCTCTCAGGTGTGGTATTTACGCTCCGTTGTTTAATAAGGACAAAAACAGGTATTCACGATTGTTTTTATATAACATTAATCGTATTCTTTGATAAGAATTGTTAACTAAGAATAGTCACTGGTATATTTGTATTGAATAATTGTTTTGCGTGAGCAAGGATTCAGATTTCCCGCAAGCAGTTGTAGGAAGCACAACTATTGTAATATTCATACAATGATTTTATAAATTGCTGAATCATTGTTATTTTGATATGATTAGTTTACCTTTAGGCCCGTTTATTCTTCAGAATTGATTAGTCTTATTGTTCCTTAAATGTTGATTGTCTTCAAAACTCTATACCGTAAATGCACATTAATATATTTGGATATAAAAAAGTATATTTAATATGTCTGTTAATCAAAATAGGTCATACAACTCAAGATCAGCATCAACATATACAAATTCAAGAAACTAGGATAAGTGACGTTGCCATTTCAACGCAAGTTTTTCTTTATATATGTCATTATTATTATTAGGATATTTGCTCAATCTATATACATTTTGTATTTATCGATATATTCAAAAATTAATAATTAAATTGAAAAGTTACTACCTCGAATAAGTAATAGAAAGAGCACCGAAACACGAGGCTATCTGATTTGTACGAGGGGGCGAACACGGTTAAATTCTTGCTGGTAAATGCAGCAAAATTTATATTATGTCTCGTTTTTTACGGTAATGAACATTGGCGCAGTTGAATAATTTTGTTTTATATGAATTTACAAAGTAATCAATAACTATGTTGTTATAACATGAAAGCAGAGAAAAATATTCGTTTAATTCGAAAAATATTTCACTGAGTGAGAACAAGATGCAATATTGACACAACTGTTATTCCAAGTTAAATTGTGTATATATTTGGTGTAGAAATAATTACAACTGTGCCACTATTATGGTGGAATGATATTCAAAATTACTTCACGTAAGCCAAAGACATTTACAGTTGATTATTCTAGAATGGCTAAATTTCAATAAATATTTCAAATATTCAAATATTCTTATAAATAATTATGTCTTGAACAAAATTGTTGATCTTGTTAAAATTGTTGATCTTGTTCTTTATGATTTGATATGTACATTATAATGAATAATATTTTTTTCTAGAACACTTTATTACAATGCTACATGTATATATTTATTTACTATCATATTATATCATGTAGCTCATATTTATCGATATAATCTATATATAATTCTTTAGTAGTCAGTGGTACTAAATACTATGAACATAATTATTTATAGTATTCTTCAGACCATTTCACTCTAAGAACAGATTCTAAATATATATTAAGTATAAATGAACGGACACTTGAGTTCTGATATTGATGTACTGACAATAACACTGATATTTAATTGCTCTGGTTACTAAATCTTTTAATCAATAATTATGCTTATAGAAACACGTACGAACAACTTCAAAACAGAGGGGATACGGAGGGTAGAATGACCTACGACTCACTTAATGGTATTGCATTTCTTCCTACACTTTATATGTCAGAAAAATATTTTATATGGCAGTTAAAATACCAAAACTGTCATGTTAAAACAAATCCATCACGAATACAAAAGACAATTTGACAGTGTAAATAAGTTAACTTTGAAAGAAGACCAATGGCAACATGCTCCTTAAAATATAAATATTAAAAGAAGTATATTTAAACTATATTGTCTACAGAAGCAATTTTAATATATATATTTAGAACGCACGTGTCTGTTTAAGTATCAAAAATTTATAGCAATTTTGACTGCATCATTACGATAGGTCCCCGTACCTACTTGTAAAGCATTTGAACAGACAAAATACATTGATTTACTTCAATGTTAGAAAAAATGTAATTTATGTCTCTATTTAAATGCTTATATAAAGCGAATTGATAACAATATGCTGATACTACATTAAGAGCGCAAGTAATTTTCGTAACATTTTGGTTAATTGACACATTTGACGTAAACATTTCAATTTAATGCCGGACACATATTGTGTAATATTGATATATTTGATATATTGTTTCAGTGAGTTCCAGTGGATCACCAATCAGGTAATTAATCACGGAAAGCCTGCCAATTACAAATAATTTAAATTTAGGGAAATTCTTTCAAACACGAAAATGTACTCTAAATAAAAAATGAGTATAACAAATTAGGACTGTGTCATACTGCTTATAAAATGTGAATGCATCATTGAAGATTAAAGGTTTAAATACGCACAAATTGATTGTCTAGATAAATTTTATTCAGAAAAATTAAAAGAATGATGGCAACAAGGTTACAAATAAAAACTTGCACCGGCACCTTAAGGTATAACGAATTATAAAGGGCACCATAATGTAATTTTTATCAATATAGTTACATCATGTAAATCAATGATTTCACTTGTATGTCTATCTTTCAGCTCATCACAATATGAAAATCTGACACATTGATAAGAAATACCTCACACTGATGCAGATGTAAAACACAACTGATAAAAATGGATACATTTTGAGACTTTAAGCAAAATGAAATCCAACATCGAGAACACGTTATTAAATGACATTATCTTGATGTATGACAATGTGATATCTAAATTCAACAACTGTAGAACAAAACAAAAAAAACACTACATGTGACGTCATTCTTATCCCTATTTTTCAGGACATTTGTAATCTCGAATAGGCTTTTTGCCCATTTTTATTTTTTTTGAAGATATTATAGAATTATGATATTGTTTTATATTTGACTTTTCAAATATGTCCCTGCATGTTTTGTCAAGCAATCGTATAGCACTTAAGTTGCTATTGTGTACAAATATAAGAACTATCTGAAAAACTTTACATGTAATCAACTTATTCTAATCATATTTTACATTAAAGGAAGGTCTGAGTTCGGGACGTGCGAGATGTTGCACTTTCATAAACATACTCAATGTCTTTCATCTTTTTGCTTATGCTAACAGCAGCAGGCGTAGGTACATATGCTGACCCTCTTTCACGTTGATTCCAATACTTTTACTGAGTATGCATTTATCTCTAACTTCATGGTAAAAGTCTAGATAAGCAACGTATGACTATGGATATGATTATCTGCATTGCAGCTCAATTGCAGCAAATTATTGGATGTATTAAAACATATAAGTACCAATGTCCCATCATGTTAAGCATTCTATTACATTAACATAAAATTTGAAGGCAAAGAACGGATCACAACTTGTAAATCTGTTTTTTTTTTTTAAATATTTCAAATGATTTTCAAAATAGTTGTAACGCAAGTACATTTCATTGACATTTGTGTGAAATAATTAACACATATTACTTTGTTTCAAAATACTTAATCGTATAAACCACATACGTAGCATTATTCCGTTTAATTGATATTCAGTCATATTAATTTGTCAACGCAATGATACTGTTTAGTGTAAAACTGTTTACTACCTTGATCGTAGAAGTTATTCGATCTTGGAAGTTTGTGGAATTAACGGTAATTGGCATAAACTTCTGCACCGACAATATATGTATTTGAGTTTTATGAAAGAAATATAGTATTGGAATTTCATTTGTATTAACAAGGCGTGTGACTTACTCACACTTCTTTAACTTTGATAAGTCATGGTTATGCATTTCAGCATCAACATGTATGTTTCTGATAGATTTGTTTGATGCGTCATATATTGAGAAAGCACTGTCTGGTGGTTAAACAGCTGACACAAAAAATATGCTATATGCAGTCAAATTATGATCGAAAACTTCAGATATATAATCATGTAAATTGTTTATTGTAAGTTGTTTACTTTCATTAATCTTAAAAAACTTTTAAGACGTTCAGTCCCTAGCATTATATATACATGTTGTCTCTTTTTATTTAAAGGTATTCATATGACCAGATAACAGTGATCGTTGTTTTGTATATTTAATAAGAATTTGTTTGTTTGTTTGACTGAGTTTTACGTAACACCGACATGATAGTGGTCACATAACAACGTTCCAGCTTTACTGGTGGAGGAAGACCTCAGGTGCCCATCCGGCATATTTCAGGCACGAATGAGCACATTAGTAGACCCATCAACGCTCCTAGGCTAGCTGGTTAGCAACCTCACATGAAAGAATCAAAAATTCCTGTCGGGATTCTAACCATCAGCTCTGAGTGGCAAGTGGTTTGAAGACAACGACTTATGGATATAAATACCTACGTGCATAAACAATAATATTTTATGATTCCTGTGGAGATATTTATTTATTTTACCATCAATAGAATTTTACTTAAATACAAAGCGTGATAACTGAGTATTGAATATGTTCGTTGGAGTATATTCTCATTTGTTTATTGGTTAACCTTAGGTATCATTTCTTTGCATGATTATTGTGTTTCTTTTTAATTTCTTTTTTTAACCATAAACTTTATTATATGGGAACAATGATTAATCATTTCGTCGTCTGAAGTAAAGTTTTTTTTATATAATGATTAATGTTATTTGGTTTCTTTGATAAATCAATACAAGCGAAAAGAAAATCTAAAATGAAAGTCAACTTGTATTTTAATTATGTTACATGTTATGTAGTAGTTTAGCGAAGCTTTTAAGTTGATATGTAGTTCAAACCTCATTTGCATTTATTTTATATATTAAGTAATACGTAGATAGAAATAATAATACTTTACATTTGATTACCTTTTAAAGGTTTGTATTGCAATACAAATTTATAGAGTCTATATTAGGGCTAGAAAGAGGATAGGGACATCCCAAAAGGGTGAACGGTTCCATCGAAACGTGTTTTGGTGAGTTTCCAATGAAATTGATTGTCCAAGGGTTTCGATTTCCAAATTCTTTATCTAACCAAATAATTGATTATTTTTCTCACTCACCTGGACACATTTAAGAACTTAGATATAAGAATCATTTAAACTACTTCTTATGCGCATAACCTAGTTTGAAAAACCGGGCGAGGCTTAGAAAGTTAACGTTCCATATTTGACAAAAATCATTTTACAGTTCGCAAAAGTCATTCAAATGGGAGTCGTCAGCAAGAATAAAGGTTAACACAAAAAAAAACTTCAATTTTAAACGGGGAAATGTCCTAATATTAGTATTAATAAGAATTATACATATTGTTTATCCGGTTTGTGAGTTTTTTTTATATCCTTTCAACGGCCGTAGTGTAAAAAACGTAACCGTATTTGTGGCACATATTGGCTTCTGTACAGTCGATGGTAATTTTCCTAATTTGAACTCGGCCTCAATTGCATATCGAAGGATGTCACGTGTTCGAATTCAACAGTTATGACCATTTGAAAACTTTTGCTGCGTTCGAATTGGGCTAATTTGGAAACAGAAGTAACTTTTCCTGCTTAAATATGATATTTTTTCGAAGATTAAATATATTCACGTTAGGATAGAGAAACAATGTTTTGCATATAATAGACACCTGTATTAGGCGACTACTTCTGACGTAACTTTATGAAACATATGCTCCGAAGAGCACCTACCACTAAATAACAAAATCATGACGTTGGAAAACACCTGTTTAGTGCATATTAGGGCAGAGAAACTGTTTGGAGTCTCCATGAAAATGCTTTGCAAAACTGGCTTTAGCTCTAAGAATATCTAAACATCCTGATCTTTTTATGTAAATGGAAGATTCTGTTATGCACTCACAAGATACTAATAACGGTACAGAACCAGATCCATAAGTCTTACCACAACCTAAGAATTGGAACAAATGAAAGAAGAATAAAAATTGTCATTCAAAGAAAGTGAGATAAACAAATTTAATAAGAATTCAATGAAATTTAATTTTCATTGGTTTTTTGTAAGAAAAGTATGATGTAAGCCAACTAGTATTATTTCACGTATTTATCTAAATTATCCCAAACCATAATTTTTGATTTAAAAAAAAAAAAAAAATATTCCACCGCATCAATAAAGACATTAATAAAAGGCAATGGCACTTAACAGTTGAATTCACAAAAATGCCAATGTTTATTTTAACAGATACTATTTTATGTATTATAATAGAAATGCAATGAAAACATTTTCATTTTATACTTTTTCAGTTACTGGCACTGAATTCACCATTTCTAAGGAAAAGATATTGATTGGTAGTACAGGAACATAAACTATGACATGTGTTATCACTGATACAGATGTTAACAATATTTACCTCATACAGATACGAAGAAATATATCAACGACACTTTCTGGATCAGATCCTAATGATTGACAGACATTAGCATTAATGGAAGCAGGACTTAATGAAACTCCAACATTACCACAACATAGTCAAGCTGCAGCAGGTACTAAAGTCTTTGTTGCTGGTGGATCATGGGATTCTAACACAATTCTTACATTGTCTATGAACACGGAGAAGTTAGTTTGTGATGATGTCAGGTATTATAGATGAGAATTGACATATAAAAGCTCCACAACAGCGGCTGGTACATCAGTTGCTAAAAAGGCAACATTCTCAGCTTTTGGTAAGAGTTGGTCATTGTACGATTTTTCAAACTGGTCAATAAGATTATATATCAAAATAATATAGCATCCCGCACTATCATGAACTTCAAGATCAATCAATTATAAACTGATCATGTTTCTTCGCCAGTTGATACATACTAAATATTCAAACATGTATTGAATACTTAACATGTTAAACTTAACACTCAATGACCATTTAAGGTCTACATTATGTGAAACCTATGATATTGTACGTTTACCAGTTAAACTCAAAGTGACTTCATTGATTGCCAGGAAGAATGGTTTTATTGTACAAGGGCCATCATCAAACGAAGTTGCCCCGTTTAAAGTTGGAGACGAAATGGAACTCAGCTGTACCTCTAATATAGGCAGCCTCTCAAGCACGATTATTCAGTGGCGGAGAACATCAGAAATAGCATCAAATGATGAATTTATTGAGTACCAACCAGCGCCTGGTACATTCGATGATGGCACAGAAAACCATCTTGCATTTCTGTGTTATGTTACTGTAAGAGGAGATCCTTATGGGGCATCATATACATCTGAAAACAATCCAGGATTTTATGCTGATGTCAGTAATGATGCCCCGATATTTTGCAAAATGTCAGATAATTGCAAAATCAAAGGGATTTAATTCAACAGGATTATATGTTTATTTAATTTTGTTAATGAAAGATTTTTTTATAGATATCATAAGTACATGATTATTGATCAAAACATGAATATTATTAAGCATATCAGCACGCATAAATAAATAGCCATAATTCAATTTATCCCCCCCCATTCTTTTATTGTTTACCCCAGGACGAGGTGCGAAATTACATCGATTAATGAATGTCAATGATTGTTTGTTTGAGGAATAACAAACTTATATCAAATTTAACATCTTTTATGAATTGAATTTTTCACTTACTTCTTTTTCACAGACAAAAGTGACGCATAAGAAATACATTGTGTTTCTTTGTTTTTTGATGGTAGATAGGGTTTTGTATATTGTAAAGGTTTAAAAAAATAGTGCTGAACAATCTCATGTAATTGTAAAATAATATATTATTTGCTATTATTGATATATTTTATATTCATTCCAGCGGAATCATCGTGGAATGATGGGACAAGAACTTCAGCAATCAATCTAACATTACTGGTTTGTATTGGCTTAAGTGCGATTTGGACAAATGTAGTTTTCCATTTGTTGTACAGACTCAACTAGTACGAAATATATTTGAAAGAAGTTGAAAAAGCACATAATCTTAAATAACAGTGGTATACTACGATTGAAATATTGAAAAGTCAGAGAAAGATAAATAGTGCACTACTGAAAAGAAAACAAATGAAAGTGTTTCTACTTTTTGTATATTTTCAGATGGT